TACCATGCATATTATTACATCATTCATTAGTTCTTAAAATCATTAACGATTGATTATAAACTTCATTACATATAAAATTGAGATATGAAGTATTTGTTAAAGAATGAGCTAGTTCAAGCTTACATAACCTTGAACTAACTCATTACATAAGCTTTGCAATAACTCAACACTTTAGCTAAAAATACTAGGACCGTGTACTTCAATCATGTAATTTATATGGGTCTCCAGAAATTAGAGTATAAGGCGTTAAACTTAATTATTTTATTCTTGAAAAGTCATTTGTCGCATATTGAGAAATTTCTTAAATTGGAATATTCAATATAATCTCAATATTCACTTAGAAAGATGTCAAGGACCTTGAATCAATGTAATTGATTTTATTCTAATATCCTTAAGACACTTGAGAATAGGCCACAAAATTAATTGTTAATTTCCAAGGCCTTTGTTACCATGAGTTGGTTCAAGACTATTGGATCATGCATACTCATTCACATTTGATCCTTAATTGCCTAAAGATAGGTCACGGACTTCATATAAACATTCTCATATGATCTACACATGATATATAGGAAGTGTATAACCCATAAATAAACTGATTTTGGGTCATACACAGTGAGGGAGCCGACTCCCCATGAAAAAGGGCCTACACATTTCACTCCAGAATGGATTTCCAAAAGTCACTCCTGCAAACAGCAAAGGATCCGACTCCTTTTGAAGGGACCCGACTCCCAGAGCTGAGGGAGCCCAACTCCTTTCATAGGGAGTCGACTCCTTTTGGTCTGGATTCAAATCCAACGGCTAGAAATGTGATTAATGCCTCCAACAACCTTCTAAAGGCTATATTTTTCAAAATTTTGCCTATATAAACATGAGGCACTTATATATTAGATACAACACTTGAGAAACCTTATTGTGTAATAGAGAGCTTTTGTTCTTACACTTTTCTCATCCTCTCTCATTCATATCATTAATATATTAAACTTGATAGATTCAATTAAGCATTCAAAGAGCTTTTGCTCTTTTTCGAATCTTCAAAGAAATTTTGATCTATTTTACACTTGAGAGATCCTATGGAGTACATAAGAACTTTTGTTCTTCACTTATATTATCTTCTCTCATTCATATTATTCATAGAGTATTTTAACAAAAAATATATATATATATATTATTCATAGATTATTGAGCTTCATTTATATTCATATATATTCTATCTGTGAGCTTGATTTGCATATCAATGTGGTGAGATATTCTTATGCAACAAATTGTTTCTACAATCTAGTGTAAGGGTTGTTTTGGCCCACTGGGTTGGTGTGCCTCAAAGGAAGCTTAAGAGAATGAACTTTTCTTAGCAAAGAAATTGTAATGATTTGTGATCCAAAGGAAGTCTAAGGTTGGTTGTTCTCTTAGCAAGGAGAAGTAAGGGCTTGCTTCTTGTGAGGTTTGCTCTCCACCCGTAAGAATGTGCTATAGTGGATTTGGGGAAGTCTTAAGAGAGATCTTGAACCGAGGTGTAGGAGTTTCCAAATAATTTGCAATTTCTCTTCCCGTATCTCTTTTAACACTTAGGTTTTTACCTGATAGGTTTAGAATCAAAGTTTGAGCATTGCATGCTACTCAAAATATTGATGCCATGAAAGTTGACGAAATAGTAGAACATCTCAAAAATTATGAGATGAAGTGCTATGAAAATTCCCAAAAGTCTAAGGAATTAGTCCTAAAAGCTTCAAAGTTTGAATCTTCCAAGTTTGAGTTTAAATATGATAGTAACTCTGATGAAGAGATTGATTTCATCACTAAAAGATTTAGAAATTTGATCTAGTCTAAAAATGTCAATGAAAATAAAAGAGGGGGTGAGTCAAGGTTTAGGAATAGAGAATCTTAATCGAATGGAAGAGAGATGAAAGATAAAAAGAAAGAAGAAGAATCTAAAGAAACTGAAATTACTTGTTGGACATGTGGTGGTAGAAGTCATTAACAACAGTCTGTCCAAACCCTAAAATAGCTTTGTTACTAAGAAAAAGTCAAAATATATAAATAAGGGGAAAACAATAAAAGCTTCAGTTTTCGAGGATCTAATAATGATAATGCTTCTTCTCATGATAATGATAATGATAATTCTCTTACTTTTGTTGCTATATACTGCTAAAGGTGTTGATGGCTCTGATTCAAGTGATGAAGATGTGGAAAAATCATATGATGAAGATTGCTACAACGAGGCAACAAGGGAGAATTATGCAAAAAGCATTCAATGAATTATATGTCAAAATTGTATAGTCCACAAAAGCCTCTAAGAAGCAAGCTAAAGAATTGAAAGAAGTTGAGAATGAAAGAAATGCTTTGAAGAAAGAAAGTGAATAGAAACAGACGGAGATTAAATAATGCAAAAAAGTGTCAATAATATTCAAGAAGGTAAGGCATCTCGAATGAGGGGCAAGTCAAGTTAATTCTGCAAAAGTATCTATTGTTGATCTATTAGGGTTTCTTGAGACTGAATTGAAAAAGACACAAGAGAAGTTAATTGCTTACTTGTGGAAAGATTAAACCTGATGAGATGACTAATGTTAGCAAGAATGTTAATGATAAAACTCACTTAGATTTTAATGAAAGTTTACATAGTAGCAAGGGTAAAATTATCTTTTTGAAACCAAATAACTTAAATCTGTCTAAAAATAAATCTAAAATTGTTGATTCATTGCATGCTAATATATCAGACACGGTGGTGTTTTGCACTCAATGAAGAAGAAGAATGTTTTGCACTTAAACTCAATGAAGAAGAAGAAAATTATACCGACAGTTATATTGTTATCATTATACCACTTGAAGCACAATTATTTTGAAATTCTCATATTTATCGAGAATGGGTGGAACCGAAATGCACAACTATTTTTAAACCTAACTACCACCTTCAGCTAGTTAGGTTTTACTCGATTTATAGATGTATGTAAAATCTTATTTGATTCAATGCATTGTATAATGTGTCACTTGTAATGCTCCACTGAAATATCTGTGTATTGTAATGCTCCATTGAAAGAACTTCAAGAATGATCCTTGAACATACATGCTTGCAAATATAAAGTAGATGGTCCAATATTAAGTATAAGTATGACATATGTAAGTAAAATTTTGACACCGTTAAGTAAAGGTTTGACAATGCAATATATATATATATATATATATATTGAAGGATTAAAGATATCAACTTTGCAGTTCATAATTTGCCTCCAGCATTTAGGTTTTGCCCTTGGTTGCGATTTTATTCAAATATAAAGACACACTCTGAACTGCATTGTTCAAAATGAAGTGATTACACCAGAATGTCTAATTTATGGAATAATATTCCAAGGTCAACAAATTCTGCAAGTCAATCCTACATGTTAAGAGAATTTTTTGCTTAATACTATGAACTTCAAATCAACACGTGGCAATTAAAAAAAAAATACCAAATAAAACTCAAAAACAAAGGCACATCCGTGAAGTGTTAAAAGCTATATCAAACTAAAATAACTAAAAATAATCAATAAAATTAATAATGTAAACTGAACACCTTGAACTGCTCTCATTCAAGCTAATGATTGATCATGGATTCTATTTCCAATCTAATCTAATATTTCCATAATTTCATTATAAACAATTTTCTATTTTTTTCCCAGATAATTAAACAATCTATTTTCCCCGGTCTAGTTTAGTCTAATTTAGTACAAAGATTCAGCATCAGCAATTAATTCAAAGTGAAGGAAATCTATGCCAATGAAATACTAAATACTAAAGGAAAATCTGAACTAAGGTCAATCATTACTACGAATCTCAAAATTCCAAGCCAAAAAAATAAAAAAATAAAACTTTAAACATCATTCATCAGTAAATCAAGTAAATACAAGGTTCTTGCAACAATACCCAACATGTGAGTCTTTACTCTGCCTTTATTTGTGCACATCAAACGGGTTATACAAGTTCAACCCTCGTAATTGCGTCTAAACAGATAACTCGTGTTCACGATTATGACACGTTAAATTAAACAAGTATAACCAAACCACTAACATGGGATATATAAACGAATTGAACCCCTCAACCCTAACACAATAGGATTAAATTATCGGGTTAATTGTATCAACCGATGAGACTTTAGTGAGGACAATTGGTTTTGTATAAGTTGTCCTATTTGTAATTACTTTCGTCTTGAATGGCTTAATACCCCCATTTTTTTTTTCCTATGTCTTGTTTTTAATTAGTCCCTCTCAACTTGTCATTTATTGAAGGATTAATTCTACTCAATTCCCCTAAGGTTTGTTAATATTTCACATAGATCTCTACATTTCATAATCCCGCTTACCTTGAGGTTTCATTTTTACATTTCATTTTATCCTAATGCCTAAAACGAAAGCAAACATTTCATAGACAACAGTAAAAACAAAAAGTCACTGAGAAAGAAGATAGATAAAGAAATATTGACAAACTTTAAAGGAGATAAATGAAGTTTACCCTTTATTAAATTATCAGTATCCCCATCTGCAGTGTGTTGATGGCCTTTCTCATTTATTAAATTATCCCTATTTACAGTGTTGGCCTATTTACAGTGTTGGCTTTTCTGAAAAAAATCAGTGTAATTGGGCATAGAAGTGTAATTCGTGATTGTCATTTATTTCTGGTTTTTTACCAAAATCTACCAAAAATAAAACACAAATACGATTGCCAAACATTTCTGGTCTTTTACCAAAATCTACCAAAAATACAAAACAAATACGAAACGAACTAAAAGTTGCTAAACTAACTCCATTGGTTTCTTCCTTACTCAAGTGCCATGAAATATCATCACATGAATCTTAAAGTGCTTCATGTAATCTCAACACTTGTATATCTAGATTCCCCATATCTATTTGCCGTCCAGACAATTTACTCAAAAATGAATTGCACATTTTGTGTCGAATAAACAAAATAATCAAAGCATAAAACGCAGGCATGGCAAAGAGTGCCAACAATTCATCGACAACATGATAATGAACTAGAGTACAAAGGAAACAGATAAGTTTTGGAAAGGCATTCGACAAACCCAGATGAATCTATCCATGTTTGTAGATCATTACAACCACGAAATTACCACTTAAACAAAATGCGCGTAAAGATATAGAGGTCTCACATGCAGCATAAATGAAACAAGAAGCATCCAACACAGTGTGGCTACAACTGCAAATCAAATATTAACCAGTACAAAATTTCAGATAATCTTACCAATACTACTAACACCAGATAAAAGGAAAGGAATCAACCATAGAATTTCAACGCTTTCCTCCACCACCTCCAAGCTTGGGGCCCTTTGGTGCTGCACCACCCTTCTGCATGCTACCCTTGCCTGCCTTCTGACTCTTGGCCGACACCTCAGCTTTCTTGGCCTTCTTTTCATCCTTGGTTTTCTTGATCCTCTCTTTGATTTCACTGCCGTTAACATATAATAATTAATTCACTTACGCAATGACATTTAGTTATCAATGTCTCCAAAGCTTGCAATACAAAAGATAAGTCATACCGCAAAGCAGCCTCCCGAGCAGCATCCCGAACTTCAGGTTTCTCTGTTCTTTTCTTCTGTATAACCTCCAATGTAGCACCCACAATAGATCTTGAATAAGGTTTCTTAGTTGCGCGACGCCTCTTCTTAACAGCTTCTTGAGCAATGTCCTGTGAGTTTTCAGAGGGTAACAGAAAAGATCAAATTGGTCTGCCCTCGAACAAATAAATTTCATGCATATAAAATGAAACAAGTACACTCCAACACAAGCCTAAAGTATATAAAATTCATCTTGAATTTAATCACCTTTTTATGTTGCTTCCTGTACATAGCTGTCCAGGTCAGCTTCGAGGGTTTCAGTCGGTTATGGAAATACCTCTTGCATTTGGAGTTGGCAAAGAGGAAGACCTTGATTGATCAACCAGCGGTAAGAAGTTTTCAACAAAAGGAAAAGATAAACCAACCCAAAAGAAGGTAAGATACCAATATCAGATGCCGTTCAAAAAAAAAAAAAAAATTACAGAGATAATCATTGAATCTTACTTGGGAATCCGAACGAACAAATCTAATACCCTTGCCAGGGTATATCTTGGCACCACTGAAGCGGCAAAGTTCAGTCCTGAAATACCCAACTTTAAGCAGTAAATACAAAGATTTTCAAAATAAGAAATGCAAGTGCATTGATCTCAAACTAAAAGGCAAGGACACTTCTAGGAATGTGTCACATTCATATCAGACAAGTGTCAAACACCAACAACTCATGTACACAATCCTATAACACGCGTGTCCTACACTTCATCAAAACACGTCCATAACTAAAAATAAATTGCAGTATTCAAACACTTGGCCAACAAATCCTAGACACTTGGCCAACACATTCAAGACACTTCCAACGAAAGTCTTCTAAACACAAAAATATCTAAAAAAGGTCATACAACTTGGAAAAAAGTCACAAGAAGTCAAGCATGCAATGACACTTTCTTATATGACAAAAATGTATTTTGATGGCAAAGAAAATAACATATATAACAATAACATAGAAATCGTTATAATATTTCAATAGCTTCGTCTTCTAAATTACATTATTCGTAAGAATTAAAAATTAATTAAGATTCTATAGCTGTCTTAATTAATAGATGCATAAATAAAATTTATATATGTATGTAGTAGTGTTCACAATGTGTTTGTGTCCTACTTTTTTATGATTCAACTTGTCAGCATATCTGTATAGTGTCGTGTCCATGTCCCAAGTTAGCACTTATGCTACTTTGATCTCAAAATAATTCATTTTACAGTAGCTGCAAATGAGGCAATTCCTGCCGATCGTGTATATAAATTTGTGAGGAACTCATCATCAAAACTATAATTCTAAAAAGGGATCATTAATACAACCATAAGTGACACAACAATATCATCAACTTCTCAGTGCACTGATTATGAAAAGTTACATCCCTCCATCTTTCCATGTTCCAAACAAAGACTTTAATAAGAATAAGTTTGATAAATATTTATTAATAAAAAGACAAAATAAGTTTGAGAAATATTTACTAACCAAAAGACATTTTAACTTTCTTGCGTGAGAAATCAAGATTGCAGATTATTGAGGAACATGTTAATGATTACGGATAAAATAAAATAAAATAAAAACAGACTGCACATGGTTCAATAGAGGCTTGATTAGGTAACATGAACTAAAGGTTTGGAAGAGCCAAGTAGAGGAATGATTGAGTTATATTTAGGTTTTAAAAAAAAACAATAAATTAATTAAATTAAAATAGAAGAAGAAGAAAGAAAGGAATTAAATTTGGAATAAACTTATATATAGGCTTTGGCTAGCTTCTAAACGAGTGAAATGCAACATTTTTTTCAGAACCATGGTTAACATATTTATCGAATACATTAGATTTACATGAAAAAAATACATTCTGATCCACCATAATGAATCCATTTGCAAAATGGTACCAATTAAAAAAAAAAAAAATTAAAAAATAGCTATAAACACCACCTCCTACCGACTAGAATCAATAATCAATTTTTAGATCCCAAACAGAGCTTCGTGACAAATAGCTTACGCTATATTCTCACAATCAATATTACATAAGAAGATTATACAATCTTCAGATGTATCACCACTTACAGGTTTAAATTCCTAAATAAATTACCGATACGAACCACGGTATCCAAATCAATATCTGTTTGGTTGCTAAGAAAATGTGGGATAAAAATAGAACATAAATTTTGAGTCCTAGGTAGTTAGATTCTTGATTAAGCTTCCATATCTCGTAAACCCAGGAAAACAAAAAAACATTATGCAAAATTTCATCTTCATTCGCTCATTTTCACAGCAAGCAAACGAAAAAATTCATATCGCAAAGCAATAAAGACATCAACTAAGAAAAAAAAATAGAAGGAAGGTGAGAGAAGAACGTTACTTCAACACCATGGTTGTTTGCCGCGGCTACTCAACTTGCAGTCGAAACCCTAGATCAGGAAGATTTGCACAGGGAGATATATATATATATATAGACACACGGTATAGGCTCTGGGTTGGGCCATAAAGCCCATTAGTGTAGGTGACCCAGTTTCAATGGAAGAGATTTTCAAAACGGATCAAAGCCCAACAAGTAACTTTATTATAAACTTCTTGTATTTGAATATTGTAATTGTAATTTGTAAGGCTATTAAAATAGTAATTTTATGAGAATAGTTACGAGTTTCTTTTGTGGTTGTTGAATTAAGAAATTTTAAAATATATATTTTTTAAAAAAAATTTGACAAATTTTAAAACTTATCTCACTATAGTAGTTAGAACATCTCCAATACCCTCTCAAAGTCAAAATATAGTAGGTGGGTGAAAATAATACACTCCAATGGGCTCTCAAAAAACCTTTCATATTTTGAAATTGTCAAAAGTATTGCCATATATAGCAACTCTCAAAAAAATTTGAGAGGTCGGTCTATTTTTTATCATACGGTATCGTTTCTCAAAATATAACAGGTGGATAAAAATAATACATTCTAAATAGCATTTTAGATGAAATGCACCATTGTAGCAGAATTGCTAAAATATAGCATTTTGGCACTGTAACTCCTCCCAAAATATAGCTTTGGTATGAAAAAATAGCATTTTGCATTGGGGATGCTCTTAGTAAAGAGAATTTATGGTGCTCTCACTTGTTAGTCTTATATATTCTTGATGAGCACTGAAAAGTGTGTATTTAAACCCCTTAAGTTTAGACATTCTAGTACCTTTATCTATCTTACTTTACCGTTTTAGATTGATTTCGTATTATTTCTTTTTTCAGGCACTTATCCCGAAAATAAGATAACTTAGCCAAATAAGAGTTTAACTGAAGCAATTCTGGGATTGAACAAAGAAATAAGCAAAGGGGAGAAAGAGGGAAGCAAATGAAGCCAAATGTGGCAAGCAGCAAGGTTCGATCGATTGAACAATGATCGATCTCAGCACTTCAAGATAGATCCAAGTCTTGACCCAAAAGCATAAAGTTCCAAAAGTTTAATAGATCCAACACCATCCTTCGATCAATCGAACACTTTTGTCCTTATTCAAATGATTGATCATATCCACATTTGTACCACCCACTAACCACTTTTGTCATTTTCTCATAAATATCTCGGATTTGTCTTTTTCCAAAAAGCTCAACCAGTTCGATCGATCCAGCCTAAGTTCGATCGATCGAACTTCCTCCAGTGCGAAAAAGTTAAAATTCCATCTCATTGAAAGTTGTCCTTTATCCAATCATTAGGGAAGATTGGGTGCACAACCCCAGCTCACTTTGGGTGTCATTTTGACCTACCTATATAAGGTTAAGGATTGCTTTTACAAGGGGGAGCCAACATTATTTTTATATCATCTCTTGGAGAGGAAGAGGAGGCTAGAAACACCATTGGAGACTCTTCATCAACAAGGAGCAGATTTCAACCATGGAATTGGCCCTTGAGGGTTGGAGCATCATCACCATGAGTGGCTAGACATCCTCTTGGGGCTAGAGTTAGCCCCAAACATGCTTTCTATATCTTAAATTTGTGTATTATTGAGGGATTAGTGTTGTAATTAATGTTTTGGCACTTTTATACATATAGATCTTGTTTATTCAATGATTTATGTGGTTTAATGCTTCCAATCAATCATTTCATTCTATCCATATGTCGATGTATGCTAGAATAGATGTTCATGTGTTTACCTCTATTCCTTGTGTAATTGATGCATGTCTATGTGTATTAATGCTATGGATTTAGGAATTGTCAAAATATTGTGCTTAAAATGATGCTCTTGTGATTTTCTAGATGGTTCATGCTCACTTCTTGATAGATTATGCCTCTCCCTTAGCTTAGTTAGTTTAATTTCATGCCATTAGTTTAATTGTAGTGTAGTGATAGCATAATTCGTTAGATGAGAGGACAATCCATGCTAGTTGTTTGATATTCCATACTTTTGAATGCAAGTAGCATATGTCTCTAACCTTGTGATGTGTTTGGCTTGTGAGCTTAATGAAAGGATTAATGACTTGTTAGATATGTTGTGTTTCTCACATGCTATTTAGACAATATATACTTAATTGCTAGATATATTGTGTTTTTCACATGTTGATTAGACAATGTATGCTTAAATTGGTCACACTTGCTAATTGAATCAACCAAGCACACACACACAAATATTGCAAAACACTTTACCCTCATTCGTCACTAGTTAGAAGTGTAGAAAAACATTGCTTGGTGGTGACCTCTAAACCACAAAATCTCTCTCTCTCTCTCTTGCTTACTTTTGTTACATTCAATCACTTAGTTTAATTTAGTTGCTCTCTAGTTTACTTACCCAACCAACCATTTGTTTGATCACTCGACCTACTAACCCTAGTTGCATTTTCACATTTAAGTACGACTCCAATCCCTTAGGACGACCCCTTCTCACTCGTACTACATAGTATAGGTTTTAAGCGGTTTATAAATTTAACTATGATGCCCACTTGACACTATTTTCCAAACTCAAAGTGTTGTGTATTGTTTTGTGCACCGCCCAAGAGAAGCACCAATTCATAAAATAATATAGAATAAAATTTATAGCTATCAACTATCACAAAATACAAAATAGAAAGTGCAAAGATCAAAGATGAAGGAAAAAAAAAAATAAAAAAAATAAAAAAACAGCCACACAATTGCAGCGCTGTAACATCTCGTATTTTTTTTATTTATTATTTATTTGCGCACCGTGTGGGTCCTGATATTTTTCCTTGGTATTGTTCTATTTACCCATTTGTTTATCTTAGGGGATTTTATTTATGTGGTGCACTTGTGTAGTTATATAAGTGTATATGTGGTTATTAGTGTGGTTGAGTGGAGAGATATATTTTATGGCATTGTAGAGGTTATAAGGAAGTTTGATGGGCATTGTTGTCATTTAAGCTTCTTGGACCATTAACTTTGGAAGGTGCTAAAAGCCAAAGACTTGACTTCATTTTTTTAGTCCACTCATTCTCTACCCTCATTTTTCGAACCACTCTTTCCTTCACTCCACACTTCTCTTTCTCTCTCTATATTTCTCTTCCCCTTCTTTCTAGAATTTCTTCATGTTAGAAGAAGATTTGGTTTAAGCCGGAGTTAGCAAAGTTATAGATCGTTGCAAGGGTTACGTTCTGGTACCAGTATTGCAAGCTTTTGGTGAGATTTGAGTTTGGAGCTTAGAGCTTGGGTTCCTATCTTGAGGCAGTGGAAGTTTAAATTACAAGTCCTATGATTTTAGTGAGTTTCTATGTATATTCTTACATGGAATCTTGTTGTTGTGTAGCATGCTTAGTTTTGTATAGAATTGGGTTATGGTGTTCAAGCATGGTCTATGGTTGATCTATGTGGTTTGAAATGTGGCCAAAGTGTTTTTATGCTAATTGTGCATAACATGCTATTTTCTATGATGAAATGTGAAAGTATAACTTGTATGGTTGTTTCATGTTTTGGATATCATGTATAATGATATTGATTTAAATTCATAATTGGTATTTTGATGATTAATTGCATAAATTTCATGTATTTTTCATGGGGGCTTGGGCTTGTGAAATTGAAATCATGATGTTGGAATGAAGGATGAGAAATGAATTGTTGTTGCGGTGTAAAATGGGTTGAGAAGTGAGATGATGGTTGTGAAGGATTTGATGAGTTTTGGGTTGGAAGGAAAGAGGAGGGCAATTGCATCTCATGTGTTGCATGATTTATGAATTCATTGAATTCATGTTTGATGTTATGGTTGACATTCTCATGATCCTTTCTTCTTACTCTCCTCTTTGGTTGTAGTTAACGGGATTTTTAGCAATGTACTTTAAACTTTTTCTATTGAGTTGTTGAGCTCACCCTATTTTTATTAACATTTTTCAGGAAATTTGGAGATGAACTGTTGAATTATATGTGTTCATGGATGTTGATGTAATTAGGATATTCATTCATGTTAAAGTCATGTAATTTTGGCCATGTCGGCTTTATTATTATATTTTAATTCTTTAGACAATGTACAAAAAGAGATTTGTATAATTTGATTCTTAAATGTTGACTCACGTATTTGTTATTCTGATGATTTAATCTATTATTAATGAATTAGATGATGGGGTGGGTTTTTATTCTCACGTTCACACACGTCAGTGACAGTGGAATGGGGTAAAAGGTGTGTTTTCATCAATACGTAGTTTTTGGTCACCATTTAACCGGTTGGATGGGGTAATCTAATCGGTTAGATCACGTTTTGGGGAACATTTAACCGGTTGGATGGGGTAATCTAATCGGTTAGACCATCTAACCAATTAGATGGGATTGACAGTGGAGTGCGCACAGATCACTTAAGTGTGCGCACAAATCACTGATGTGTGTGTACAAATGGGGAAGTGTGCGCAGAGATTTGGAATTTTGCACGCTCATTATTAGATGACACATCTAATTGGTTAGATGAACCCAATCTTCACTGTTTATCCTTAACTTCTATATAATTAAATATTTGACCCCAAGTTTTGGCATATTTACATAATTACCCCCAGACTTAACCAAAGTACATATGTTATATTTTGTCCAAAAAATGACAGTTTTACCCCTAAAGTGTTTAAAAGCTATAAATTGCATAGTAAATGACTATTTTACCCTTTTTGGGTTCCAAAGCATTGTTTAACCATGTCAAATGACCGTTTTACTCTTATGGGATCTAGACCCATTATAATGACGTGAAATGACTGCATTACCCCTGGACTTCAACTTAATTGTTGGGGGACCCTAGTGAATGACCGTTCTACCCTTTTTGGGTCTTGAACTATAATTAATGAGTTAAAATGACCATTATGCCTTTGTGAACCATTGGAGCAGTAGAATAACGTGGGACGACTATAAGGTCCCCGGATCTCACTTAAATTGTTGAATGCCATTAGTAAATGACGGTTTTACCCTTAGTAAACCTTAAAGTATTAAATTAATGTGAAATGACCATAGTACCCTTGTGTGTCCTCGGGTTCGGGTGAGGACCCGGCTAGCGATC